AATGCTTGTGATACAGATCTCAGTTTCAAAGTTAAAGCTGATTGTACAGACCCTGATCCCACGGGTAAAACCAGTAGTACATCGAATAACCCTAACCTTACAGACCATGAATTCCTTGTTAGAGTTGGTGAAACAAAGTCAGTTGTATAGTCACTTGACTTCCTGGTTAAAAGCTCAGTTGTACAGGCCACAAATCAAGTCCCAGATCAGGTTGTACAGGCTTCGAGTCCTCTGGGTAAAGCCAATGCAGAAGCCCCAATTCCATGGTTAAATCTTAGTGATACAGGCAACAATTCTCAGGTTAAAGCTGGTTGTACAGACCCTGAGTCCCCTGGGTAAAGGCAATGCCCTGTGCAAAGTTTGGTGGTACAGGCCACAATTGGTCTATGCAATGCTGGTTGTCACAGGTTTCAAACTCTGGTCCTGGAGCACCCCATGTCCTGTACATGTCACAACACATTCATTTCAATTTAGGAAAGACTGTTAAGTAGTTTATTAGTTGAATCAGGTGTGTTGCAGCAGAAAAAATATAGGGGTACACCAAGACTAGGGTTGGGAACCTGTGGTTCAAAGCATCTCCATGTAAAACCGGTGGTATAGACCCCCTGGGTCAAGCTGGTAGTATAAACCACATTTCTCAAGGTAAAGATGTTTGTACATTCCTGATCCGATTGATCTTAAAGCTGTGATATTTGGCCACATTTCACAAGGCAAAGCTGGTAGTATAGGCCACAACTCCCTAGGAACAGTCAGTCTTACAGTTCCTGGTCCCCTTTTTAAAAGCTCCGTGGCATAATCCCCAATCCCCCAGGTAAAGCTGGTGCTAGAGACTCCAATCTTCTGGGTGAAGCCAATCGTAGAGGCACAGTTCTGGGTAAACGCGATGGCACAGGCCCAAATTCCACTAGGGTAAAGCTGGTGGTACAGGCTCTGATCGACTGTTTAAAGCTTGGAGCTGCTGTCCACAGTTCACTAGGTAAATCACGGTGGTTAAGGCAAAGTAAAGTAGCATAATAAGACACTTTTGCCTCACTGTTTTCTAAATGTTACTGCAAAAAAAAATCAAAGTAGGTAGACATTAGTTGTTCATTGAACTACTACATTCTTTCCAAAGTGTGAGTGGAAAGGAGTAGTTAACTGTTCACTTGGTTTTTATTAGATCACTCAACTGTGTGTCCTCCTCCCTCCACTTACACCCTACACACATGCACAAACACTTTGAGGCACCAGAGGGCATAAATTCCTAATCAGTCATGTAAGAGGTGTGTGTGTATGGGCTTGTTGTGATCAGGAATTACAATCAAAGAAGCCAGAGGTAGCATAATAACTGACGTGCATGACAAGCTCCCACACAGTCATTACCTTTGTCTCTGTCTGACTGACAGTTGATCTGGATCGTATGTATGAGGAGGTGAGGCTGTACAGCTGCACACCACGTAATTTTTCCATAAATCTGCGGGAGGAACTGAAGGCCACCAATGCAGTGTTTTTCCCACGATGCCTCTTGGTGAAGCGCTGTGGCGGGAACTGCGCCTGTGGGACAGAACATTGGAACTCCTGCACCTGTAGCCCTGCCAAAACAGTCAGCAAACTCCATGAGGTATTCCATAATGCCCTGCAACACACGCATACAAATGAATGTATGGCCTCAAGAAATCTCTTGACAGGAGAAGTATAGATGGGGATTCATTCTTTTAAATGTTATGGAGGGAAACTCTCAAAAACTATCTTCAGGCACTTCTCAAGAGCAATGTAGTAAGCAATTATTTAACAGATGATGATAAATGGGCCATTTATGGTCCATGAATTATTCCAGATCTGAGTAGCGATTATTTTTGTACATTATACTAGTTAAAATTCAGCAGCAGATTGCAAGCAGTGCTGTACTCCAAGTTCTGATGCTCTGATGCTAAATAGAGAGGAGGTATTATAATCCAAGAATGTCTTGGTGAGTTTAGTGCTGTTTGTCTACAAGGATAAACAATGATTGTGGAGCCCTTACTAAGTTACCATGGCTCGTCACTCCCCCCTCAATCTAACCCACCTTTTAGTGCGATTATATATAAATCTCCTCTATAACTGTGTGCTTATATAGTGCAACTGTGTAACCAGGAAATTCATTATAGTTTAACATGAAGTCTATTTTGTTGAAGTTATCATCTGTTCACTGATGGAGACTTGAATGCAGAACTGCATGGCAATTGCAGCCCTTAGGCTATCATAGCAATTGCAGTCCTAAGCCATCGTAGCAGAACTGTTCGTATCAATTGCAGTCCAAAGCCATCTTCATGGTTTCTAAGTGTATCTTTAGACTGTCCATGTAGGACCATCCTCAGCAGCAGTGTGTGGTTTCCATTTGATGAGAACTCCAACCAGAAGTACGGCACCAGGATGGATCAGACAGGTCCGGAGAGCAGAAGGGGTCAGGATCACTGGTATCTCAGGAGTAGCATGTGTAGCTCGCCCGAGTGGGAGAGGGAGAGAGAAACACAGATTATTAGCTATGCTCATTGTCACGTAATGGTTAAGGACAATGTGCATTGTGTGCAGAGTTCAAGCAGGTGCATCATATAGGATTGTTACTGGCTAAAGTAGTAAATGACCTACTGCTTGCCTTAGATTGTAGATTTGTTTTCGTTATTTGTAGTGTTGGACTTTATTGCAGCATTTGAGATAGTAGGCCTGTGAGATTGACTTTGTTGATGAAATGGTGTTGACAGTGCTCTGGTTCTGTGGCTTTCCTGCTCATGGCTCTCTGCCCACACAGATATATCCAGACATCTACAATATAATCTCCTTCTCCAGTAAAAGTCAGAGCTTTACTACTTTGCTTTTTAAACACAGTATATATTACTAACTCATCTTTTGGCATTTACTACATTCACTGAATATAAAAAAGCCATAGTAAGCAAGCTGCCAGTGCCACACTGAGAGACAGAGTAAGCTTGGTGTTCAATATCTTACTAAAGATAATAATTTGACAAAATGCTATATAAAGCATGGCTCCAAGATCTCCAACTTCAGCAGCATGTCTCCAAGTGGAAGACTGTCAAAGTCATTAAAACATAACATTAACTGCGCTGTGTTCTTTAAATAGCTAATATAAGTGTGTGTGGCTGCATAGTGCCATAATGTGTATGATGGTATGATATGAAGTGGTGTATTTTAAATGAAGGTGTACGAATGAGGACGAGGGTTGTGTGCAAAGATGAGGATTGTGCGTGTGTGATGAAGCGTGTAAAAGAATAAACATGGCTGTGTGTGAGAGGATGAGGTTTTGTAAAGATGAGAGTGTATGAAGATGAGGAAGAGGGCGTCACAGGACAGTGGCGTATAATGTGTTTATGTTGTGAGGATGAGGGCTGGTGTGTTAAAGAGGAAGTGAAAACAGAACAATATTGAGGGCAATATGTGTGTGTGTGTGTGTGTGTGTGTGTGTGTGTGTGTGTGTGTGTGTGTGTAGGTGCTGAAGTTCTCTCCAGGACAAAATTTCTACAAAAAGAAAACCAGAGCACGCTGGGTTCTCGAGGAAATCAACCTACAGCATCATGAGCGATGCGAGTGTGTGTGTCACTCGCGGCCACCTCGATGAGAGACGAACATATACACACACACACATACACACACACACATGCACTCAATATTTCAAACAGTAACTGATGTAGCTAATGTATCTTTCTCTGTTTGTCTGTACTTATGTAGTTTTTATCCATCTTCACACACACTATTATTTATTTCTGTTTTATGTTTATTTTCTTGCAAACAAAGAAAATTGGACCAAGCTGATCTAAGACTGTTCCTACACACACTCACTCACTCTCTCTCACACACACACACACACACACACATTCCAGTCATCTCCCTGGTTCGGGAAGATGAAAGTAAAGGCCAGAGGTGTGTGTTTTCACTCGCTATCCAAAACAGTACATTCCCCTCATACCAGCCCTTCCTCACACACAAACACACTCACACACACACACTCTCTCTCTCTCTCTCTCTCTCTCTCTCTCTCTCTCTCTCTCTCTCTCTCTCTCTCTCTCTCTCTCTCTCTCTCTCTCTCTCTCTCTCTCTCTCTCTCTCTGCTGAAAGTATGATTGGTGTAGCTCTGTTTGTGAGATTTTGGGTTCCATGTTGGTTAAACAGCCACACTCAGATTCAAATATTTTCTGTTTCATTTGTCTTAAAAACACATAATAAACAGATTTTCAAGGTTCAGCATTCAGCTGTGTGTATTTTCTGGTCACTGCATGTGTGAGGTGAGTGAGGTGTTATAAGAACAGAGGGGTGAGGTATCATGGCTGACCCTTCACTCTGACCCCTCACTCTGACCCCGACTTCCTGGGATATGTGAAAACATATTTATCTGACAAATAGCTTCATTCTTCTTTACTTCATGAATTATTTATGCATTTTTCCAGCTCATTCCAGCTCAGCACAGAAATGTTGAAACACAATGTGCTAATAATACGCTGACTGATGAAAATCTGTGCTTGTCCATGAACTATGATGAAAAATTCTGAAGTCTGAAAAAAAACACTGCTTTTTAATTGATTCATATGCCACTTATATGAAACAAACAAACACTAGAACAAGGCTTGCTGTGGTAAAGCTAAAGCAAAGAGACCAAACTGATGTCTTGTCATACGATGCTGGTCATTTTAAATGTAAGTCTGTGGGGAAATTCTGCTTTTTCCAACATAATGGGCCTTATGGGACCACAAGCGCTAACCGGTTACCCGACCAGTCAAAACCTGACATTTAGTTATTCTCAAGTCCAATAAAAACTGTAACATTGCACATGGGAAAGGCACCTCAGGGACAATCAGCAGTCAGATGGAACCAAGAGCATCCAAACAGTTCCCAGTTATAAGCTTTCTCAATACTCTCACTCCCGTTCTCTGATTGCATAGCTCTCACACGTAAGTGTAAAATCGAGTACCTGTCTTTGTAGCTATGCTGATTGGGCCTTTAGCTCTAGCAGCCTTGCATCTCTGCTGTGTGCCCAGCTAGCTCAGTCGGTAGAGCATGAGACTCTTGCTCTCAGGATTATGGGTTTGCAGCCCATTCTGGGCACCAACCCCAACCACTTGGGGTGCACAGGCTAGTCCCAAGCCCAAGTAAAAGGGGAGGGTCGTGTCAGGAAGGGTGTAAAACCTGTACCGAATCAATATGCAGCTAACAGAAGGCAGTGGTAGCTCAGTGGTTAAGATGTTGGACTACTGATCAGAAGGTCATGAGTTCAATCCCCAGCACCACCAAGCTGCCACTGCTGGGCCCTTGAGCAAGGCCCTTAACCCTCCACTGCTCAGTTGTATAAAAAATGGGATAAATGTAAGTTGCTCTGGATAAGGGTGTCTGCCAAAATGCCCTAAATGTAAATGTGATCTGTTGTGGTGACCCCTAATGGGAGCAACAACATACATATCTGCTGGAAGGATGGAGGGAGGGGTTTAGTGGAATGAGAGACCTGAGATGTTAGAATTTAGCTTACACCAGATCAAACCCCATTTTCCAACAGACTGACCAACTGCCAGCTGTTATAATGACATGACATAATGTCATAAGCCGCATTGCGTCACACCCACAATTTCCTTAGAACAGAATTATTTTTTCCCCCACACTTTATAACAGCACTGTTGAATTCTCGAACCTGATTGATCAGAAGGTGTTGATTCATTTTCAATCATTTTCAACATCTGCCCTGACAGTAGTGCCGTCTGTAATGCGTTATCGTTTCTATAGTAACTGGTTCACAGGGACTTGTACTGTATGCTGGACGCTTCACGTAATCTAAGCCTAATAAGACGTGGATTAAAGATTTGCTGTTATTTAACAATGAAAAAAAGTAGAATTGCTGATCTGAAGTGTTCTGTAAGGAGATGTTTGTTTAACATTTATGGAAGGAGTCTCCAGTGTCAGCAAGAGGACTTCTGGTTTCTCTGCAAAATGACAAGCAGATAAAAATATGAACAGTGAGGAAAGTATGGCGTGTCATTCTTTAATGAATTACAAAATATAATAGTTGACCAATTGCTGCGATATGAGAGGAATAATACACTTTGGGGTGTGCTGTTATTAGAAAACAATCAACGTCTGCATGATAATAGTAACTCCGCTTCATCACACCACCCTATCATTGATTAGTTTCCTATAAGTGCACATCTTGTCGTGTTTTATTCCTTACATAATGAACCAAGAACATACCTACGCATCCATCTGTTTGTCTGTAACCATCTTGCTATCTATTCTTTTCTCCAACTTTCCGAGCTCTACAGGTTTCAGCTCTGTGTGTATATATGTGTGTGTTGCTGGGTTCTTATCATTGTTGCATCAGCTGGAGAAACAGAAGGTCCAGGATGGAGTGCTGAAGATCAGAGAAGAAGACAGATTGTGGGCAAACAGCTCGGAATTGTGTCAGACCCGACAGCTTACAAAACGTGTGTATGTTTTTACAGAAATGGCTTTCTCTGCAGAGAGACAGACAGACTGAGAGACAGGAAGTAATGACTTCACCCTGAAGAGGATGAGTGAGTCATCGTCACAGAGAGAGTGCCCACACTCGTTTATTATATCGCTACATTCTCCCTCCACCCCAACATCCCTCCTGTCTCTGTGCCTGTATTACAGGGACGGAACAGCTTTTACATATTTACTTCTACAAGCATTATTACAAGCATTTGGAAATCACCAGAGTCGTCTTTTTTGGATTTTTACACCATTTTCTCTCAATTCGGCAATGCCCATCCACTAGCTAACTCTTCCCCATCACGCAGATATCAATCAGCGAGTGTGAAGGTTAACACGTGCTTCCTTCTAGACACGTGAACCCAACTGAGCACATCTTTTTAAACTGCTGGCAGCGTAACGCACTCGGAGGAAAGCACCATCGACCCTCTTCCGCATACACGAGCTCACAGGCAAACCTGGCTAGTGGTGTTGTGATTGAAAGAGGGGACAGAACACAGCCGATTTTTCTCTCCTAGACTCCGATCCCCAGATTGCAAGTCTTCTTTATTAATAAGTAAGGAATAAAACCCTCGGGGTGTGATGTTATAGGAAAACAATCAACAACGGGGTGGTGTGATGCACCACAACGCTAAGCAGAGTCACTGTTACCACCGTGAAGTTGATTATTTTCCAATAACAGCATGCCTTATTCAACACAGCACACTACAGACAGTTTATACAGCTCAATACTCATATTTGCATTTCATTATAATGCTCATTTAATTAAACCATAATAACTTGTTAAAAATGTACAAGGGTTACTGTTAATATCAAGACTAACTACACAACTAAACAACATCTCAAACATTCACAAATACCACAGCATTTTTTTTTTAAATCTGAAATGTTTGTAGGTCATGTTTTTATTTAATTTTTTTTTTTATTGTGGTGCGGGCTAAATCTAATTTCTAATATGCAAACTCTTCATACGTGTCTTTAACCAAAAACAGATCTTCAAGCATATGTGTGTGTGGAGAAAAAAAAAACGCCATACTGAACAATCTGTCCTTATCAGAAAGCGTATGAATAATGACATAAATAACTAACATTTCAGTAACTATGGTAACAGCAGCTTAGTAATGTAGGAATGCATTCACCTTATCTCTTCTATTAGGCAGAATTTCTCCTTTCGTATTTTATGTTATTCTTTTTTTTTCTTCTGTAGGCTCGCTTTTCTATGACTTGGTCTTATGGTCGTCGTTTTGCACGTCTGTGAGGCCGTATGGTGTTCAGTGGGAGCTCAGAAGTCTTGTCTATGCACCCACAATGCAGACTCAACAGGATCATCAATGGAATCATCAATGCAAAGATAAAGTTACACTGTCTTTTGTCGTTAAATTAGGGATCCAAGCACAACGTTTGGAATTGTTAGGATTTTTCTTATTATTTTAATTATGAATATTATTATTAGGGGGCCAAGCACTTAGTTGGGCTATGTTTAGGAAGACTGCCTGGACCCCTCAGATGGCTGCTTGCATCTATATTTTAACTTGTCTTTGAGTAGCGTTATGGTTTGCAACTCAAAATACCACATGAAAGTGAGCACGAGCTATTCAACTATAGCCTAGAGGTTTTCCACGTCACTGTGATCTTGTAGTTTTTTTTGTTTTTGTTATAGGGACTGACAAAATAACCCTGAACTTCATTCGTCTCTGAAGACACATTGACAAAGCATCTGCCTGTGTCTCAGACTCTGCTGGTACATCTGGAACTTTCTGGAACGTGGTGAAGATTTGAGGATTGTCTCAAATGCTTGCTTTTACATCCGCACGACTTGTACACCTCAACCACCAAAACGCCAAAACTCTCGTCTTTCCTTTGCTCTATTTCTCTCTCACTCTTATCTTGCTCTATGTCCTCTCTACCTCCTCTCTCATTCACTGTGTTTCTGTTACTCGGAGGTTTGTTTCTCTGTTTCTCTCTCTTCATTACAATTTAAAGTAGAATTACAACTGCAATTCCACACACGTTCCTCCTTTTCCTGTTTCCTGTTTTGAAGCTCAGTTTCCAGTCAGGTGAATATCTCGTGTGTGTGTGTCGGGGTGGGGGGGTCACAAAGGAAATGAACTTTTGGAACAGCATGTGCTGAAAACATGGTGGTAATGGTGTTATTATTACTGTTCTTTTTCACAGACACAAACACCATTTTCACAGCTAAGTATGTGTTGCCCTGAAACAGACAAATATCGTGAATTTCACTGATTGAATACCATTTCAATTTTTATAATATTCATGTATTCAAAGGACATATTATGGCTCTTTTTCTGTGGCTGAATGTTGAAAATGGTGCTTTATTGCACACATAGTAGGTAAGTTTAGCAGTGCCATTATGTTACACCCTATGTAGTGTTTATACATAGTGATTAAAAAGGCATTTGAGATTCAGACTCACTGTGGCATGGCTTAAATGTTAACAAATTACATTAAAGTGCCCTTACTGCAATGTAAGAACTGGTGTAACTATGATGCATCGATTTATAAATAAAGTGTAGTTACAATGTTTTAAACACGGAAATAATGCTAAGGACAGGTGTATAACTACGCACCCGAATTCCTCACCACCTTTTGTAAGATGAATAAAATACCACAAGTAAAGTCATACTCGCAGCAATAACCGATTCCTGATGGACTCTAACGCAAGGGGGATTTCTCGCGCCGGGTCCTTAGAAGCTCATGGCAGATATTGGTGTCATCCTATTTCAGAAATGCCATTAAAAAGCCTCTGACCTCACAGAGAGATGCTACACACAGTGATGTGGTGCACTGTGATGACTGCATTAGATTTGGATGACATGTGCTCTAGCAGTCCATGAAGAAAAGCTGGTATCTTGGGAATCAGGCAATGCACCAGATCCAGCCAAATGTGGTGCACACCATTTCAACACCTTTGACCTTATGGCATAGAAGATCTGTGTGCTAGAGGCTCTTGCATTCTGGGATTAAGTTGCAGTCCTCAGCTGGCAACTCTTTTCGAGGGGCCAGACATAGAGACAGGTGATCTGGCAGAGTGTGCCAAATCTTTCAATCCAGCTGAGGAAGCTGCCTGGATCACTCGTGAAAGCAATGGAAACCAAGACCTTGCTTGTCTTTTCAGCACCAGGAGCAGGACTTTGTAGCCTAGTGCCTGAATTCTCTGCAATGTGGGATGAATTAGTGGTAGAAGAGAAAGGGCATATAATAAATGGCTAAGACAGTCATGAGCCAGTACATCCTGCCCCAGCGTTCTGACCGACTCTGCCAGGAAGATCCACAACTGATGTTGTCAAAACTTGGCATTAGTGAAGTGGTCTACCTGCAGCCCAGCAAACATTTTTGCTTTTGCTTTTGAGTGCAGACACCCCTATCTGGACATCCATCCGTCCGCTGCACCATTGTTCAGTTCTGTTATATATATTGCTCTCAGTGTGGCTAAGTATGGATGGACCCACCTGGGAAAATTCCATGCAAGGCAGAGAGAGCTGTTCGACCTTGTGCCACCTTGATGGTTATCGTCTGAGCAAATCAACACATGGTGACGTATCAAAACCAGTAAGAAGAACTTGACCAGATGGACTACCCTCGATTTC